AATATCATTAGCATCGCAAGATTTGTTTAGTTTACACGTCCGTAATGCACACCCGCCTTCAGAGTCAAGAACCAATCAAATTTTGTGAAGACATGCGACCTGAGAGCGCGATTCGCAACGCTGCGGTCGCTATCGCGTCCCGTGTGTCGGGTTTCACCCTGGCTGCGATGACAGCCGTTAATCGCTGTAGTTTGTCGCTCCCCGTGTGTCGAGCCCTTTAAGCTGCGAGTCTTCTCCATGTCATCCTTATGAGCTCATTTCCTTATTTGTGCACAGTTTGTTTAATAAACAGACACAAGGAGAACTATTGCATAATCTCAGTCCAGAGAGTCTGTTATGATGTTCACTAACAAACATTCTTGTCAACAAACGCTCCACACTGTCCTGTTCTGTTCATTTCAAGCACAYGGGCGTGTAAAAAGAAGGAAGTCGTAAAATGTTTTATATTACGTTACAGTTCCATGTCTGTTTTATAGTTTAGGCAGGTGGGAGTCCCTCCTGATTCCAAACAAACAAAAAACAAGGATAACTTTAAATAAATAAGAGACAACAACTTCTAAAACTTCTTTCTCGCCATTTCTTATCACGATAGTAAACATTAACTTATAAATGTCCTTCCGGCTGCTATCTGCTTTTATGGCGTATGTAGATAAAAATATGAAATGGCTATATTTAGTATGATTATCTGTGATAGGGAAGATGAAGTATGAAGATTGAATTACGACAGCTGAGGCAGTCTGTGGCAGAAAAGGAAAACAAACAGGCCCACATGACAAAAATGCCTAAAATAACCACCACACAGGCTTTTTTAATGACTTATTTTAACTAGTGTCTAAATTTGTTGGGTTTGCATTGCATAAAAAACAATTATATGTAGCTTAGTTCTTTGCATATTTGGGTCATTTTTATTTGAGCTCCAATTACTTAAAACCTTATGTTATTATTTTAAAAACAACGACATGCGTATTAAATTTAAAATTCCATATTTTTAGTCACTTTCATGTCCAAATACAAACATTTCCTGTAAGTCTGCACACAACTATGTTGTCTTCCCATCATTTTTTGAAAATATTCCTAATAGATAAATATAATCGCATGGTTTATTTATTTATTTATTTATTTTTACTAAAACATGATGTTCATTTTGTAAGATTATATTACAGTAAAATAAAAATCAATGTAAGCTTTAAAGCTGGGCTTATTTTTAACAAGTTCCACTCACGATAAATAATTTAAACTCATATAGCACCTTTTAATCATAGAAATGTTTGCAAAGTATCTTTCGCAATATTCCTTATTCATGCATAGATGCCAATAGGAGTAACTTGATGTTTTCAAAATTCTTTAAAAGGTCCACCTAAATAATGTCAACTCTAACAAAAGGCCCACATGCATATTTATTGTATCTACATTTGTTGCTTTCTATTGTGCAGTGTCCTTGGGTGTCCTGAAAGGCACTTTATGAATAAAATGTATTATTATTATTATCATTAATAATAAATTGTCTTTTTGTGACAATCATGATCATTTTCTTCAATCCCTACATTCTCGTTTCAGGCCTGTACCGCTCTATAGGCAGGCAGCTTCTCTGCAGAAATAGAAATGCGTGACATACACGGCATTACCGTAAATACTAGATAAGCTGCATCAACTACAAAATGCAGTAAATGCAGAAAACCTGTGCGGTGTGAAAATAAAATTAAATGTGTGCAAGTTTATACTATATATCCAGAAATAGAGCCATCCTGAAAGGTGTTTCGTGTAAGTGGTTGTAATTTATTTTTCACTCTGCTCTGTTGTCATCATATATATAAGCGTGATTGCGCGACTGAGCAGAAGCCTTAACGTGACCGTTCGCACATGTTTGCACATGTGAAAGGAAAGCTGTGTAAGGTTTGTTTTTCTATGCCAGTGAGGGGTCTGAGGTCAAAGGTCTGTGGGTCACAGTTCGCTTCTAAAAAAAAGGTTTTAAAACACACTGTAGATCATAACAAAKATCCAAAATATCATGATAATTATTGCTGGTTATGTAGCTCAAGTCCAGCTAACTTTGTTACATTTTTTTATCAGATTTGATTCCCATTCCCCTTTCTTCATAAGGTTTCTGCAGTTTTCTAAAAAAATAAAAATAAAACACTCTTTTACAGTGAATTATTTCCTTTCAGCTGAAGTTGGCCACACTGCTGCATTATTTAAGGGTTTCTGCTCTTCTCACCATGCATATGTTCTGATGACATGATCTGGTTCAGTGTTTGCTCCTCTTCTTGACAAATGGCTATCATGGTAGCAATGGGTCTCATGCAGGAACATGTTCGTATTCTTATCCTAAATTTCTCTTACTTTTGTTCGTACGAACATGTCACGTCAGATTCAACAAACTCTTCTATCTTCATGAAAAGTGTGTAAATGAGCTGCGTAAATTCCACCTGTTCGTATCCAGCTGCTCGTGCACGCGAGAGGAGATTAGCATAATTACCGCCCCAAAAACACCATATAAGGCTTTGTTTCCTGCCTCAGATATCAGGAAGTGTTCATTCATGAAAAAAGAC